AGGAAATGCTCTATTACCCAAGTGTTGAATCTTTTGGGCAATTAAGATCCCTGAAAGTCGAGTTGTGCGATAGGTTAAAGAATTTGTTCTCATTTTCCATAGCCAGAACACATCACCTGCTTGAAGAACTTGAGGTATCAGATTGCAAGAACCTCACAGAGTTAATTGTAGAAAAGGAAGAGATTAGCGAGAATGACATTTTGGAATTTAGTAAACTACGCTTCTTAACGCTAGAAAGACTGGATAAATTTAATGGCTCGTGGCATTCGGAAAATACAATTCAATCCGTCGCATGGCTTTTTGATAAAAAGGTAATTATATTTATCTTATTTTCATTTATTAATTATGGTGTACATCAAAAATTTTATATTTTGATGTCTTTTCATGTTTTTTTCTTTAAATTAGATAAAAGAGTATATATTTATGCACTATTATATGATGGTGCGAGTTAAGTGACATCGATTCAATTGAAAAAAATTAAATTTTAAAACAATTATAGAATATTATTATAAGAATTCTTTTTCATGTATTTTATTATCTTTATATAATATTTAAAAAGAACTTGTTACTTTCTAAAATAAACTATATGTTCTGCATGATAATTGAGAAAGAATTGCTATTAATGATGGGATATGAAACATGAGTTTTATATATTTGCAGGTTTCGTGTCCTGCCTTGGAGAAGTTGGAGTTGGAGTCAGTGGGTGGCATTGACAAAATATGGCATATTGATGATCAGCTTTCTGGAATGTCTTTTGGGGTTCAAAGTTTAAGAGATTTGAGAGTGTTCAGATGCCGTAAGTTGAAGTACGTATTTACTTCATCTATGGTTAAAAGCTTTGTGCATCTGAAAAAACTTTTTGTTGGTGAATGTGATGAAATGGAAGAGATAATAGAAGGAACATTAGCGGCAACAGAAGAAGAAAGGATTAGAGGCAGCATAAGTGTGTTTTCTAAACTTCATTTTATGTGACTCATTGGGCTTCCAAAATCAAAAAGATTTTGCAGTGGAAATTATCCAATTGAATTTCCCTCGCTAAGGGATTTAAAGCTACGAAGATGTCCTGAATTGAATACGTTCCTTTGTGACAGTGGAAAGAGCGGAGAAGCGCCGCCAAATTATCTCTTCAATGAAAAGGTATGCTTTAATTCTTCATTAATACATAGATATTTCCTATATGAAAAAAAGCAAATATTTTAATATAGAAAATTGTTTCACTTCAGTTATTGGTTTTATTGGTTTTAGAGTTGGTGAATTTCCCAAAAATAAAATCACCCTAACGGTTTTTATTTCGGTTTATTTTTTGATCTAACACCTTTTTCAAAAAGGCACGGTCCATACACCGCGCCGTAAGCCATGTGTAAAAATCGGGTGTTAGTTTCGTAAATATTTTTAAAATGATATCTAATATGTAATTAATTTCTGTTATGGTGATTTTTGTGTGAAAAAATCTTTTTACATTAAAATCTTTAAATATTCTTTTGCAAATTATTTTATAACTCGATAAATTTTGAGTTTTGTATGAAATTACACAATACGTATAATCTAATATATGAAAACTTTGAGGGTACATAATTTAAAATATGAATAATTTTATAAAAGTTTTATAACTAGTATTTCTTTTACAAAATGATGATGATGATAAGAAATATTTTATAATTTAAAAAAATTATAAATTTCATATATTTTTGAAAAATTTATTGATTTTCAAAATTAATTATTTAAAAATATAAAAAATATTAAAATAAACTTTTAACTATAATTGAGAGATCAAATTAATTATTATTTTTATATTTTGATGTACAACAATTTTAAAACAATTTTTTTATATTTTGATGTCTTTTCATGTTTTTTCCTTTAAATTAGATAAAATAATATATATTTTTTCCATGTAAAGCTAAAAAATATCACCTATATTTTTTAAATATTCTTTCTAAACATTCCAATCCGTCGCATAGCTTTTTCATAAAAAAGATAATTATATTTATCTTATTTTGGTTTATTAATTATGGTGTACATCAAAATTTTTATATTTTGATTTTTTTTTACTATTTTTCCTTTAATTTAGATAAAAGAGTATATATTTATTCACTATTATATGATGTTGTGAGTTAAGTGTCATCAATTCAATTGAAAAAAAATTAAGAAATTAAATTTTAAAACAATTATAGAATATTATATTATAAGATCATGTCTTTTATTATCTTTATATAAATTTAAAAAGAACTTGTTACTTTCTAAAATAAACTATATGTTCTGAATGATAATTAAGAAAGAATTACTATTAATGATGGGATATGAAACATGAGTTTTATATATTTGCAGGTTTCGTGTCCTGCCTTGGAGGAGTTGGACTTCTACTTAGAGGGTGGCATTGACAAAATATGGCATATTGATGATCAGCTTTCTGGAATGACTTTTGGGGTTCAAAGTTTAACAAGTTTGGAAGTGTTCAGATGCCGTAAGTTGAAGTACGTATTTACTTCATCTATGGTTAAAAGCTTAGTGCATCTGAAAACACTTTTTGTTGGTGAATGTGATGAAATGGAAGAGATAATAGAAGGAACATTAGCGGCAACAGAAGAAGAAAGGATTAGAGGCTGCATAAGTGTGTTCCCTAAACTCGACTCTATGCGTCTCGATGGGCTTCCAAAATCGAAAAGATTTTGCAGTGGAAATTATCCAATTGAATTTCCCTCGCTAAGGAATTTAAAGCTACAAAGATGTCCTGAATTGAATACGTTCCTTTGTGATAGTGGAAAGAGCGGAGAAGCGCCGCCAAATTATCTCTTCAATGAAAAGGTATGCTTTAATTCTTCATGAATACATAGATATTTCCTATATGAAAAAAAGCAAATATTTTAATATAGAAAATTGTTTCACTTCAGTTATTGGTTTTAGTGGTAATACATACAGGAATAAAAAAGTTACTATTTTAATTTAATAAAAAAATCATTAATTGTAAAAAAATATAAAAACAATATTTTTTTAGAGGAAAAAGAAAACAAAAAACAAATCATATGAAGCCTATTTGCAGTTCTAGAGTTGGCGAATTTCACAAAAAAATCACCCTAACGGTTTTTATTTCCCTGTCAGACACACATGGAGGTTTATCTCTCGATCTAACACATTTTGCAGAAAGGCGCGACCCATGCACCGCGCCTTACGTTGATGTGGCGTCACGTGTTGAAAGGCGCGGCCATGCACCGCGCCTTAAGCCATGTGTAAAAACCAGGTGCTAGTTTCGTAAATATTTTTAAATTGATGACTAATATGTAATTAATTTATGTTAGGGTGATTTTTGTGAAAAACGTCTTATTTATTTATTTTTTATGTGAAAAAAATTTCTGCGTTAAAATATTTAAATATTCTTTTGCAAATTATTTTATAACTTGACAAATTTTAATTTTTGTATGAAATTACATAATACGTATAATCTAGTATAAGAAAACTTTGAGGGTACGTAATTTAAAATATGAATAATTTTATAAAAGTTTTATAACTAGTATTTATTTTACAAAATATGAAATATTTTCCTTTCTTTTGTGTTACTCTCTAAACTTGTAACAAAATTTAATAAAAAAATAATGTAAAGCTAAAAAATATCACCTATATATTTAAAATATTCTTTCTAAACATTCCAATCCGTCGCATAGCTTTTTCATAAAAAAGATAATTATATTTATCTTATTTTGGTTTATTAATTATGGTGTACATCAAAATTTTTATATTTTGATGTTTTTTTTACTATTTTTCCTTTAATTTAGATAAAAGAGTATATATTTATTCACTATTATATGATGTTGCGAGTTACGTGGCATCGATTCAATTGAAAAAAATAAAAAATTAAATTTTAAAACAATTATAGAATATTATTATAAGATCATGTCTTTTATTATCTTTATATAATATTTAAAAAGAACTTGTTACTTTCTAAAATAATATGTTCTGCATGATAATTGAGAAAGAATTGCTATTAATGATGGGATATGAAACATGAGTTTTATATATTTGCAGGTTTCGTGTCCTGCCTTGGAGAAGTTGGAGTTGGAGTCAGTGGGTGGCATTGACAAAATATGGCATATTGATGATCAGCTTTCTGGAATGTCTTTTGGGGTTCAAAGTTTAAGAGATTTGAGAGTGTCAAGATGCCGTAAGTTGAAGTACGTATTTACTTCATCTATGGTTAAAAGCTTTGTGCATCTGAAAACACTTTTTGTTGGTGAATGTGATGAAATGGAAGAGATAATAGAAGGAACATTAGCGGCAACAGAAGAAGAAAGGATTAGAGGCAGCATAAGTGTGTTTCCTAAACTTCATTTTATGTGGCTCATTGGGCTTCCAAAATCAAAAAGATTTTGCAGTGGAAATTATCCAATTGAATTTCCCTCGCTAAGGGAGTTACGGCTAAACAAATGTCCTAAATTGAATATGTTCCTTTGTGATAGTGGAAAGAGCGGAGAAGCGTCGTCAAATTATCTCTTCAATGAAAAGGTATGCTTTAATTCTTCATGAATACATAGATATTTCCTATATGAAAAAAAGCAAATATTTTAATATAGAAAATTGTTTCACTTCAGTTATTGGTTTTAGTAGTAATACATACAGGAATTAAAAAAAAACAGTTACTATTTTAATTTAATAAAAAATCATTAATTGTAAAAAATATAAAAACAATATTTTTTAGATGAAAAAGAAAACAAAAAAAATCAATCATGTGCAGCCTATTTGCAGTTCTAGTGTTTGGTTCTTGTACAATTAGCTTCTTACACCACAAATATTGCAAGACAATCCAGCATTTTAGAGTCAAAAAGTTTAAAATTATTTTTAATGTTGGATGGATGATGATGGGATTTATGAGAAAATTGAAAAAAGAAAATGAAGTAAAACATGATGTGTATGGTAGTAGCAATAAACTATTTCCTTAACTTGAATTCTTTTGCTGTTATGTTTTCTATGATATATACTTGCTGACACATTCAAATCAATTACGTATGTAGGTTATACTTCCTGTGCTAGAGATATTGGGAATTTATGAAATGGACAACTTGGAGACGCTATGGTGTGACCAACTTGCTCAACATTCCTTTTCTACACTAACTTCCATAAATTGGCCCTCATTGAAGAAGCTGTATGTGAGTGGATGTCACAAAGTGGGGATATTGTTTGCTTCTCGAGAAGTAAGTGGAAGTCATCAGCCCCTGTTTTGGGTGAATGAGGTATCATCCTAATTCCCAAACTATTTATTTATTTGATTTGATTCTTGTTTAGTGTTAGAGTCTTTCAATTTTCAACAATGCATCCTATGTTTGTGTCGTTAACAAACAAAGGGTAATTGGTGCAGTCTACGTTTCCAAATCTACATGAACTCACTTTGGGATGGAATGCTGGAATCAAAGATATCATATGGCATTGTGAAACCCAACAAAAACAGCAACTTTTGTCTCACTGCTTGCCCAACCTGAAAGTCGTTAAACTTGAGGGGTATCCGGACCAATTAACCCTATTACCATCATACTTGTTCCATTTATTAGCCTTACCCTATCTTCAAACACTTGAAATATGCTGGTCTGATTTTAAAGAGATGGTATTCGAAAGTGAAGAAGGTGGTGAGGAAAAGCCTGCATCGCTGCTACTTTCTCAGATAACTGAATTAAAGTTGAATTCTCTTCTTGAATTGGTGCATCTATGGAAGGAAAAGGAAGGATTCCCAAATCTAAGGATTTTGGATGTTGACCGGTGTCATGAATTAAAAGGTAATCTAGCTCCATCCTCGGCATCTTTCCGAAATCTGGTGACTTTGAAAGTATGCAACTGTGATGGAATCATAAAATTAATCACACATCCCACAGCCAATAGTCTAGTGCATCTCAAAGAAATGAGTATAACCAGATGTAGAAATATAGAGGAGATAATACAAGGTGGGGATGATCACGATGAACTCAGTTTCCCCCTACTCAACAGTTTGGAACTTGAAGATCTACCAAAGCTAGAAAGCTTCTGCTCATCAGGGAATTATACCTTTTCATTCCCATCCTTGGAAGATCTAGTTGTACAGGATTGCCCCAAGATGAAGATGTTCTCTCAAGGACACTCAAACACTCCAATGATACAACACCTATTCAGAGAAAAGGTATGTTTCCTCAAATTTCCTTTTTATATACTATTTTACAAATTTGCTGTAATTGCCTTTACATTATATACTCACTACAAACAATATAAACACATTCATTCATACAGGTTAGTATAAATCTTATACAAATATAATGACAAATTGAAAATCCATTAATATAGGTTCATATTATACTAACAGAGGTCCAAATTACGTCGGATATACGAATTAAAAAAATGTACGATCTATACACGTTTTGTATTGTAACTCAGATAATTTACAAATCTATGAGTTTACATTGTAACGTATAAAATTATATACTTATGAATCTTCATTCCCTTAGTTAATATAATATTTTTTAAATTATTTTTACCAACAAATTGAAAATCTATTAATACAGGTTCATATTATACTAACAGAGGATCAAATTTTGTTAGATATACGAATTAAAAAATGCACGATTTATATAAGTTGTGATTGTAACTCACAGATTGTGTATGAACTTGTACATGGTCATTGCATCTAATACAAATCTATGAGTGTACATGGTAACATAAAAATATATATATATTTCATCATGTTATTCACCCGGTAATCATAACAGCATGCGATGAACGAGGAAGGTGAGAATTCTAAAGAAGATCAAAGTAAATCTTTTCCACTTCTAATGCCCAGGTAAGTCTAAATACATTTTAATTTATTCTTTTGCTTTTCTCTATCATAAATGATATTAATCTCTCTGAGGATTATTAAATGTAGAATCTCAGAGGAAGTGGAAAATTCCACAAAAGATAAAGGCAGTTCTTCAACTTCTAACTTCGAATGACCATCAAGTAAGCATATATAATGTGGATAGTTGTTGTTAGCTTCAACAAGATAGCTTCTTTGGTAATGATTTCTTCATCTTTGGTTCAAAAGTGCAAGAGTACTTATATATATTTGTAACAGTGTATGGTAGCAGAAAACTAATCGATTCGAATGTCGCCCCTCCTATTTTGCTCTGCCTTGAATGAAGTTTGATGGCTTGCGAAGAAATGAATCGAAGGTTTAAAATATGGATTCGATAGAATTTGTAATTAACAAATTTTCCATCTTTAGAATATCGTTTGATTGGTTCTAATATTTGTGACGAATAGTACAGATTGTGTATGTCGAAGTATGCAATTTATGTTATGAAGATTTGTGATCTAGTCTAAATAAACCATGTTTGTATTTGTAAATATATATATTTGTAGTGAAAGTATCTTTGGCAATGATGTATACTCATTCCTTTATTTATATTCTCTGGGTTTGCAAAACCAAGTTCCTTGGTTTATCCTTGGCCTCACATCTTCCCTTTCAGCTCGGAAGCTTGACCCTCCTTTGTCTTCGTAGATCACTTGCCGTCGGAAGAGAAGAAAAGTCGAACACCATACTTGTTATGTGGCATGCTACAACATTACAAGCTGATCATTAACTTGTCATCAAATTTTACGTATTAAGAGCACTCGGAGATGACATTGTTAGAAGAATGGAAGTGAAAGTCGCAAACTTCGAACATGATAAACCGAACATTAAGGAAAAATGAGGAGCAAAAGAAGCACAAATCATGCAATCAAATCAATTGAAAAAGAAAAGCAAAAACATGTTTCAACTGGTGATAAGGCAAACCAAAAAACAATGCCATTAACTAACCAAATTAGTAAAAACCCAAAGGGTCAAACCCCAATTTTACATATTCTTCTCCCTCATTACCAAACACACCATACAATTAAACCCCTTGCCTTTTATCTCATTTATAAAGACTCTCTTTCAGTTAGATAAATATTTTTTTAGCTTCTACATTTCATCATCTGGTCCTCCCAGCATCACCTGCATAATCACAACATATTCTTTCACATTTAAGTTCTGCAGCAAAAATGATTCAAATATTAATACATAGGAGAGCCCTTTCTTCGGTTGCCAAAACAATGACTTGGCCGGAGCATTTGCCTGGCCTCTTGCTCCACATAGCTTCATTAGAAAAAGCCAAAAGAATGTTAGAACGGTAAAAACATGTTTAAAGAATAATAAAAAACTTGTAAGAGAAGAGTAAAATAATCACAAGCATTGATGTGGGATAGTTTTCTCTGCACTTTGTGATCCATCCACTACAGAGCTTGATCCTCATCTTTCCAATATTGAATGTGTGAGTCGAGCATGATGAATGATCTTGTCCATTGATCTGGGAAATGACTACCTAGAAAAGACATTGAATGAAGAAACTTCGATTAGAATTGAATGAGACAAATATTCCTACCATGTCAACTGGCTCTAGAATAAAATTTATGATGAACCAAACTACTCAATGAGACATTCTGGAAAAATGACATTCAATGGATAGCTGTTTTCTTCACTTTCCTTGTGTTATATCAATACATTCATACACTATCAAAGCATCACACACATACAATTGATGATCATGATATCACCAAGGACAAATCGAAAGGAATCAAATGCACATTAAATTCACTGCTAGATTTCTGCAAAAGTGTCTCATGTATCCTAAAATCCAGTATCTATATCAAAACTCAGAGTATCTCTACATAACTTATATCTGTAACATAAACTTCAAAAGTTACAAAGATCAAACAAGGATTACATAGATCAAAAAAAAAATTATCTCCTTAATTCTAAAGGCTAAGACATACTCTCTATTTATAGAGTCAAATACATGGTCACAAAGAAGCCTTATACCATAAGGATTCTTATCACAAATAAATTTAATCCTCAAATAATATTCAACTACTAGAATTACAATGAGAATCAATTTAATTATAAATTGTAATTTGGATCAAAATATAACAATGCATAAACTTTGATAAAATATCTAATATGGTATAAACATTTTTAAAATTTTAAATTTAGTATTTATACTTTGTCAATATGTCTTATATTGCATCTAAACTATCATTATGTGTATTATTATAGTACTAAATTAATATTGTTAGTAAATTTCAAATCAATCAATGAAAATTCATAGGTACTATAATGATATGTATAATTATAGTTGAAGTTCCATTTAGAAATTTCAAAAGTACATATATCACATTAGGAATTTTGTCGAAGTATAAGTAGCACATTAGGAATTATGTCAAAGTATAGGTACACATTAGGCATTTTGTCAAAGTATAAGTACAACATTAGACTTTTTTGATCAACGCATAAGTACAATATTAGATATTTTAAAAGTACATGCAACACGTTAAATATTTTGTCAAATATAAATATCAAATGTGACATTATTCCAATAAAAAATATATTTAATTATGTCCCATACCAACAATTAGTTGGTTTAGTAGCATGATGCACTAGATTCTTTAAGTAATGTGAGAAGTTCGAATCTGGACGTTTATGAATTGAGCAAAATATGTTGGGAGGGTCGCCATCACCTTTGCAGTACCCGATCTAGATTAATTGGTTAATAGATCGGATACAAGTTGTTAATTCAAAAAACAATATGATAAAATATAGCTTGAAAAGGGTGAAAGTATCCTCTAGGGCCTCTATTATAGGAAACTAGACCAATTTAGTTCATCTATTGTAAAGTAGCCTTGGTACTATTAAATGGATCAATTTAGTCCACGTATTAGTAAAAATAATCAAATATTTTTTTTGTTTAATCACTGGTATCTGACTTATTGGTTGACTAATTCTGATAAAATATTATAGAGCTCCATTACGAGATGACCCTCCCCAACTCAATGTTCTCCATTTATAATGCCAATATTTATAATATTTTTGATTGTTTATGTTATCGATTTATACTATTTCGATCACTACGACATTTGCAGAACTATGTTTCGATATAACAAATTTAAGGCAAAATGTTTTTGGACTTGAATTGAATTTATTCAAAGTTTTTCAAAAGGTTTCAAAAATAATTCAAAGTCCATTAAATTCGGATTTAAGCAAAAATATTAAGAGGTACTGATACCCCTATCAATGGGCATCAATACCCCTATGAATGGGTACCGATACCCCTATGAATGGGTATCATGAAGGCTCAAATTACAGAATGCAAAATGGGTACCGATACCCCTTTATAGGTACCGATACCCCAAGGCTCCAACGGCTAGTAAACGACTAGTTGATTTGAATTTAATGAATGTAGTATCGGTACCCCTTAGAAGGGTACCAATACCTCCTATTATGGACAACCTTGTTTTACAGAAAAATAATCCCTAAACGGCTCCAAAACATCCTCAACGACTATATACGACTTTAAACTCATTTCAAGCTATAAATACAAGCTAAGGACACTTGAAGAAGCAAGAAAACAACTATCCAAGCAAGAAAACAACTATACAAGCAAACAAACACAAGAGAAGAGTTTTTCATTCTTATTTCATCTTTCTCTTGTAAATATTTCTGTTTTTGTGAGCTTAATTCTTGTAAGCATTACCTTAGAGAGGTTTTCTTGTTTACATTTACTTTCATTGTAAAGGGGTTTTGGTTCTAGCTAAGCCTGCTAAAAGCTAGGGAAATGTTATAGTTTAACCCGTGAAAAACTAGGAAGTTTGTAAATGTCATCTCTTTGTCCTTAAAAAAGAAAGAACAAATTAGTGAATTTGTTGGAAAATCCTTGGTGAGGAGCTAAGGTAGTGGATGTAGACTTGGTTGAGAAGTCGAACCACTATAAATCGTTGTGCAATTCTTTATCTTTTAATCTCCTTACTCCCTAAACACAAAAACTGTTTCAGTTGTCGATTCAAGCTTTCGTAAATCCCAACAATTGGTATCATAGCTTGACTCGTTAGAAGGCTTAACATCCTTGAGACGATCCTCGAAGAAGCTCTATCGATTCCCGACTCAACCGACAAAGAAATGACTTCAACCTCCGGTGCCTATTACATTGAAGATTTACCTATTATGGATTCAATATCGGTCAACAAGCCACCCTTCTTCAATGAATAAAATTATGCACATTGGAAGAATCAGATGATGTTCTTTATTCGAGCCTAAGATCTAGGAGCTTGGAACTCTATCATGAGGGGTTACTCCACTCCACCCGATGAATACGACGATTGGAGAAATGAAGAGAAGAAAAAGTTTCAGCTTAATTCTAAGGCAATACATATTCTATTTTGTGCTTTAGGCCCAAATGAATATGAAAGAATCTCATGTTGTTCCAGTGCCAAAGATATTTGGGATAAGCTCCAAGTCACTCATGAAGGAACCGACGAAGTGAGGGAAACAAAGAAAAATCTTCTCAATCATAGCTACGAGAACTTCAAGATGAAACCCGATGAAGACATCAAAGCTATGACGGATAGATTTTCTATGATTGTCAACGGTCTCAAGGGATTTGGAGAAGTAATCCCTAATGAGAAGCTTGTGATGAAGATAATCTACTCTCTTCCAAAGTCGTGACAATCGAAGAAGACGACCATTATCGAAGCTAGAGACCTAAAGTCTCTCACTCTCGACGAGCTAATTGGTTCCCTTCTCACTTATGAGATGATGTTGAAGGAAGAATGAATTGATTATTATTATAAAAATAAATTTGATTAATTTCAAGTTCACATATCGTTCGAATATTGTCTTGAATCACACTACTTTAAAGTTTGTGCTTTTCACGCCCATTCTATGACGGGTGTCTTTTGAAAGTATTCGAATTAGCTACTAAAATATTTAATCAAACATGAGAGATCTAGCATTCATTTAATGTTCGTTTAACATTTGTTTATCGTTCGTCTATAAGTTCAATTTTTAGTTTTACCATTTCATTTGCAAACCTAAGTTATTTCTCTTGTGTTTGCAGGCCTTTAACATGGGTTTTTACATGTTAAAAAATAAAACTTGACTTAATAGATTCATCAATTATTGTTTAGGACATGCCCAAAATTTAGTCGTATCATTCATCTACCGTTTAAGTTATGATTGAAATTTTAAAATTGAAAAAGTATAGGAACTAAAATTGACTAAATTAAAGTAAACAGACAAAATGCAAAAAACATAAGGACTCATGACTTAGTTTAGAAAAAAAAATAAGAAGTTTATAGACAAAGGGTTATTGGCCAAACACACCTTTGCCCAATTATGTCTTTGTATAAATAATGTCATGAACATAATTAATGTGAAAATGACGCTCCATGTATTATTAATTTTTCGGAGGATAATATATCGA